CGGGGGTCGGGGGTCACGGGGGTCAGGGGCCTCTCCCTTCTCCGCCGGGGGAGGGTCGGGAGAGCAGAGGAGCGTTTGCTTCTCTTGTTTCGGACGCAAGAGTCTCGCTCTGTCGCCCGGGCTGGAGCGAGCGCCGTGGCCTCGGCCTCGCTCACGGCGGCCTCCGACTCCTGGCCTCCAGCAATGAGCCTCCCGCCTGGGCCTCCCTCCCGAGAGTAGCTGGGACGACAGGCGTGCGCCTCCACGCCCGGCTCGTTTTTTCTATATATATTAGTTGGCCGATTAATTTCTTTCTACTTTTAGTAGAGACGGGGTCTCGCTCTTGCTCAGGCTGGCCTCCACCTCCTGGCCTCGAGCGATCCTCCCGCCTCGGCCTCTTCCCAGAGTGCTGGGATGACGGGCGTGAGCCTCCACCAGCCCTCAGCAGCCGGGGGGAGGAAACCCCGGGGAAGCCGGGGACAGGGAGGAGAGGAGGGGAGCGGGGGACGGAGGGACCCCCTGCAGTCGGGCTCCGGGCTGGGGTCCCCTCCCTGCAGCTGTGCACGTCCAAGTTCAAGTTCAAGGCCGTGGGCGGGGCCTGGGGTGACCGGCCTCTGCCGTCCGCAGGGACTGCGTGCACACGCTGCACTCCAGGGACACCTGGCTGAAGAAGGGCCGCGTCGTGCGCCTGGGGGAGGTGCCCTACAAGGTACCGGCAGGGTCACGGGGGTCACGGGGGTCGGGGGTCAGGGGCCTCTCCCTTCTCCGCCAGGGGAGGGTCGGGAGAGCAGAGGAGCGTTTGCTTCTCTTGTTTCGGACGCAAGAGTCTGGCTCTGTCGCCCGGGCTGGAGCGAGCGCCGTGGCCTCAGCCTCGCTCACGGCAGCCTCCGACTCCTGGCCTCCAGCAATGAGCCTCCCGCCTGGGCCTCCCTCCCGAGAGTAGCTGGGACGACAGGCGTGGGCCTCCGCGCCCGGCTCGTTTTTTCTATATATATTAGTTGGCTGATTAATTTCTTTCTATTTTTAGTAGAGACGGGGTCTCGCTCTTGCTCAGGCCGGCCTCCACCTCCTGGCCTCAAGTGAGCCTCCCGCCTCGGCCTCCTCCCGAGTGGCTGGGACGACAGGCCTGCACGCCCAGCTATTTTTTTTTTTTAAAATATATATTTTTAGTTGTCTAGCTCATTTCTATTTTTTTTTAGTAGACATGGGAAGTCTCGCTCTTGCTCAGGCTGGCCTCGACCTCCTGACCTGGAGCGATCCTCCCGCCTCGGCCTCCCAGAGTGCCGGGATGTCTGGTGTGAGCCTCCGCGCCCGGCCTCCCACCGTGGTGGGGTCTTTGTGGGCTTCACCCCCGCGGGCCGCTCCCCTCCCCCCCAGTTCCGTGGATGCCGGGCAGGGGCGGGTCCGGCCTCCCGAGCCCCGAGACTCTGGGCAGATCCTGCTCCCGTCCCCCAGCCGGGCCATGTGGGAGGCGCGGGCGATGGCGCGGCCTCCATCCCTCCCGGGCTCATGGGCGGGCGGGTCAGGGAAGCGGGTGACAGACAGCCACGGGACGGTGGCAGCGCCAGGGAGGCGGAGGCTGCAGGTGGAGGCTGAGGCCACGGGTGGGGGGCGGGGCCCAGGTGGGAGGTGGAGGCCCAGGTGGGAGGCGGAGGCCCCATGTGGGGGGTGGAGGCCCAGGTGGGAGGTGGAGGCCCAGGTGGGAAGCGGGGGCCCAGGTGGGAGGCAGGGGCCCAGGTGGGGGAGTGGGGGCCCAGGTGGGAGGTCGAGGCCCAGGTGGGAGGCGGGGGCCCAGGTGGGAGGCGGAGGCTGCAGGTGGAGGCTGAGGCCACGGGTGGGGGGCGGGGCCCCGGTGGGAGGCGGAGGCCCAGGTGGGAGGCGGGGCCCAGGTGGGAGGCGGAGGCCCAGGTGGGAGGCAGGGTCCAGGTGGGAGGTGGAGGCCCAGGTGGGAGGCGGAGGCCCAGGTTAGGGTTAGGGTTAGGCCGCAGGTGGGGGCGGGCCCAGGTGGGAGGTGGGGACCGCAGGTGGGGGACAGGGCCCAGGTGGGAGGCGGAGGCCCAGGTGGGAGGACGGACAGGTGCGCGGCGTGACGTGTCCCGGCCCGCAGATGGTGCGGGGCCACTCGAACCGGGCGCGCCGGGCGCGGCAGGCGCAGCCGGAGCTGCAGGACCGCGGCGACCTGGGGCTGTTCGGGCGGTGGCAGACGGAGCCCTACCAGCCGCCCGTGGCCGTGGGCGGGAAGGTGAGCCGGACGCCCGGCGGGTCGGGGTCAGGGGTCGCGGACCTCGGGGGGGTCGGGGGTCGGACCCCAACCCGGCCCCGCCGCTGCCGCCCGCAGGTGCCGCGGAACGAGTTCGGGAACGTGTACCTGTTCCAGCCGGGCATGCTGCCCGTGGGCTGCGTGCACCTGCACCTGCCCGGCCTGCAGCGCGTGGCGCGCCGGCTCGGCGTGGACTGCGCCGCGGCCGTCACCGGCTTCGACTTCCACGGCGGCTACTCGCACCCCGTGTGCGTGCTGGGGAGGCCCGGGGTGGAGGCCGGGAGGGGAGGCTGGGAGGGGAGTCCCGGGTGGAGGCTGGGAGGGGAGGCCCAGGGAGAGGCTGGGAAGGGAGGCCCAGGGAGAGGCTGGGAGGGGAGGCCCGGGTGGAGGCTGGGAGGGGAGGCCCAGGTGGGGAGGCCGGGGCGGCGCGGCGACACCGGGGTCCCGGCGTGTCCCGCAGCACCGACGGCCACGTGGTCTGCGAGGAGTTCCGGGACCTGCTGCTGAGCGCCTGGGAGAGTGAGCAGGCGAGCGCCGAGCAGCGCGAGCGGGAGGTGAGGCCCCGCCCACCCGCGGCCACGCCCACGCCCCTTCGTTGCCCCGCCCACAGCCACGCCCACCTCACAGCCTGCTGGCAGCCCCGTGTAGCCACGCCCACCGAGTGTCGCCCCGCCCATAGCCACGCCCACTCCCTTTCATTGTCACGCCCATGGCACACAGCCACGCCCACCAAATGTCACCCCGCCCACAGCCCCAGTAGCCACGCCCACAGCCCCAGTAGCCACGCCCACCAAATGTCACCCCCCCACAGCCCCAGTAGCCACGCCCACCGAATGTCGCCCCCACCTACAGCCCCATGCAGCCACGCCCACCGAATGTCACCCCGCCCACAGCCCCACACAGCCACGCCCACCGAATGTCGCCCCGCCCACAGCCCCAGTAGCCATGGCCACCGAGTGTCGCCCCGCCCACAGCCCCACGCAGCCACGCCCACTGAATGTTGCCCCACCCACAGCCCCAGTAGCCACGCCCACCTCAGGTCACCCGCCCACAGCCCCACGCAGCCACGCCCACTGAATCTCACCCCACCTATAGCCACGCCCACATCAGGTCACCCCGCTCCCAGTCCCACAAGCCACGCCCACTGAATGTCACCCCGCCCACAGCCCCTATCGCCACGCCCACCTCCGTACATCGCCCCGCCCATTCCCCCCCTCACAGCCCCGTGGCCCCGCCCACGCCGGGCGCGGTCTGGGCTTGCGCAGATCCGACCTGCCCTTTGCAAGAGACCCCGTGTGCGCATGCGCGCGTGTGCCTGTGCGTGCTCGCTCACGTGTGTCCTCACCCCCCCCCCCAGCGGCGGGCCCGGCGCGCGCTCGCGCACTGGAAGCTGCTGGTGCGCGGCCTGCTCATCCGCGAGCGGCTGAGGCTGCGCTACGGCCCCCAGGTCAGTCCCGGCCCCGGCGGGGAAACTGAGGCAGGGTGGGCTTCCCACAGCCCCGCCCGGGCATCGAGTCGGGGGTGGCTCTGTGTCGTCGCGGCACCGCCGTCCTCGGGTCCCTCCGCGGCCTCCCCGGCTGGATGGGAGGGGCGTGAGCGCCGGAGGCCAGGGAGGGAGGCCCGGGAGGGAGCTGGGGAGGGAGGCCGGGTGTCCCTCGCGTCCAGAGTCACCCGCTCAGCTCACCTGCCGCGGGCTCAGGCCAGTCACCAGTGTGCACGGGCGGGCCCCGGGGCGAGGAGGCTCCGGAAAAGAGAGGCTGGGCCTCCCGGCCTCCCCGGCCACCGACCGAGGCCCGTGTCCCCACGCAGAGCGAGGCGGCGCCGGCCGCGGGCGCCGGGCTGTCCTCCGACGAGGAGGAGGCGACCAGCTCGCAGGCAGCGGCCGAGGCGCGCACCCCTGGCAGCCTCACTGGCCTCGCAACCGGGAAGGCACGAAGAGAGCGAGGAGCGGAGGCCCGTCAGGAAGACCCGCAGGGAGACGCGGGCGGAGGCCTCGCAGCTGTTCCCCTTCGAGAAAGCTGTGAAACGGCGCGCCTGGGCGGCGTCCTCTCCTGCGGGGAGACAGCGGGGCGGTGGATCTGAGGCGGAGGCCGAAGTGGAGGCCGACGGTGAGGGCCGCCCAGCCAGACTCGCCAGGGCGCGGGGATTTCATACCGGGCGCTGGCTGCCGGAGGTGCAGAAGGCTTCCCCACGCTTTCCCACCCTTTCACGGGCTTTCCAAACGGCCTTCGCGGCTTTCCCACGGCTTTCCCACGGGCTTTCCCGCCGCGCCAGCAGTTCCGGTGCCTTTTCAGGATTTCTCCCCCTCCATTTAGGGAATTCCTTGCATTTTAGGAAATTTCTGGTGCATTTTCCGGATTTCTGCTGCATTTTAAGGAAATTCCGGTGCATTTTCAGGATTTCTGCTGCATTTAGGACTTTCTCCCTGCATTTAGGGATTCCCTGTGCATTAGGATTTCTGCTGCATTTTCGGGATTTCTGCTGCATTTAGGATTTCTGCGCATTTAGGAATTCCCTGTGCATTTTCAGGATTTCTGAGCATTTAGGGATTCCGGTGCATTATAGGATTTCTGCTGCATTCAGGATTTTTGCTGCATTTAGGAATTCCGGTCCAGGCTTCCCTCCGTCGGGCGCTGTTCTCCTGCCCCGCGCCCCCGGGCCCCAGGCCGTCACCCAACCTCCGGCCTCGCTCGCGCCCTCCCTCCTTCCCTCGCGCGACAGAAATGGGGAAGCCGGAACCCGGGAAGGGAGGAGGGAGGGACAGGCACGCCACTGCAGGAGGGTTAGTGCAGGCGGAAGCGGGTCACACTGGGTCTCACTGTACCTGGAGGAGGCTTGTGCGTGTCACCCGGGTGGATCAAGAGAAGTGACTTTTATAGCGTTTTTGGAAAAAATAAAAGCATTTATCTGAAAAGAATCGGCTCCTAACCTTGTTCCTTCAGCTTTTTTTTTTTTTTTTTTGGTGGCAGTGGGGTCTTGCGTGTTGTCCAGGCTGGGCTCAAAACTCCCGGGGTCGAGCGATTCTCCCCGCCCTCCGCCTCCCGGGTTACGGCCCTGGCAAGCGCAGCGTCCGGGGTTTTAACGCCACCTGCGAACAACAACCCAGGTGGACAGGGGACCTTGGCCCTGTGTGAGAACTCCGCACGAGTAGATTCATTTTTTAATTTTTTTTGAAGACAAA